AAAGACCTAGACTAGGAAGTGCATCTCGTAAGGGCAAAACTTCAATGACTCAAACTAAGAAGTGCATCTCTTAGGAATGAATTTAAATGACCAAATCTAGGAAGTGCATCTCCTAAAAAGTATAATTTAAAAGACCCCTACTAGGAAGTGCGCCTCCTAACGATTAAAACTTCAATCTCCAACTAGGACGTGCGTCTCCTAGGGATGAATTTAAATAACCAAAACTAGGAAGTGCATCTCCTAGGGGTGGAATCTCAATTTAGGAAGTGTGTCTCCTAAAACAAAAGTATAACCTGAAAGACCCAGACTAGGAAGTGCGACTCATAGGGGTGATGTATGATCTTCTCAATAGACTTTGCGTAAGTAGAATTGGGGCATTACACCTGAAAAATTCAAGCTTTGATATGAACATAGTCTTCAACCCTGTTTCAGACAAAGAAAACTTGTGAGTTTAAAACATGGTGGTTAGTTTGTGGCCTTGATTACGAGGGCGATTTCTCTTGCACTTGTCACGATTAACTTGGACTTCAACTTGGAAGACAATGCTTGTTATCAGTCGATCGCTTTTTCAGACAACCCTTATCCAAGAAATATTCCTGATTCATTCAAGTCCAATACCTTATGTCCGATGCATTGCACTCATGTTCTAGCATTCACCAAATCTTTGCATTTTACATCAATCCCAAAGAACATCTATTATCACCAACTCAATGCACAGACTATTCTCCTGTCTCTTATGCCATTTTGATGTGCTTGCCAGACTTGGCTTTGTGTGATTAAAAAGCTGGTAGCAGATTTTGAAGTCATTTCTCACTTGTTTCGACAAAAAACATACTCAAAAGGGATTCAAACAAAACAAGAGGAACAAAATAAAGATAAAAATGAGAAGAGATGGTATCTAACAAGAAAACAATTTTACCCAGGAAAAAGAACAAAGTAGAAACTAATCTTATTTGAAGGCCATCTCTACTGACCATGACATGCATTTTGGATTAAGCGGTCTGATCTGTCAAGCGAGTCTAATCTTTAACTCTCGTTATGCCTCTAAGTTGTGAAACTGGGCTTCAGTGCTATAATTCTCATATTTGATCCACGATCCTTAGTCGACTTATAGTGCCCTTGAAGGGTTTTCACCATCAAGCCTCTCCCATTTTGCTCTTTTTTCTCAACTCACCGTCGCTTTACGGTGCCCATTAGGATTTTCACCAATAAGACTCTCTCATTTTATCGTTTTCTCTCTTTGTGTTGAGAACAAGGTATTACCCATGATACAAGAAGATCATACTTTTACAACACACTTTATTTGGCATCCTCAAAGATTGGTCGGATGGCTTTTCTTTGGACCGTAATGTAGGCTTTTGGACAGGGTTGGAAAGAAAGGGTGGTATGAAGGCTCAAAATAATTTAAGATGAAAGGGTTCAAAATTACAACTTTTGAAATCAGATCTTTTGGCAAAATTAAAACTTCTGCCCCAGTTTCTTGGAGTCCGGGGATTTTTTTTTTGAATTTTTGTTTTGATGGGATTGAACCTCAGAGTAATGTTGCCTACGTATTCTTAGAAGGAATCAGGTCGAATGTAGTTCAAACATCTGACCTAACATTTTTTCATCTTTATTTCTTTTTCTCTTCTATTTTTTCTTTTTTTTTCTTTTCTCCTTTTTTTTCTTTTTTTTTCTTTTCTTCTTTTTCTCTTTTCTTTTAGTTTTCTTCTTTTTCTCTTTTTATTTTTCCTTTTTAGTTCATAACTCTTCTTCTGATTCCAAAAGAGAGGTATGAAATAAAACAAATTAAGGCTCAAAAGGGGTGGCAAAAGATAAAAGTGTTTGGGTAGTAGAATAAAATACCTTTGTCATACCAAACTTTAAAAATGCCAAGTACAAACAAGCAATTGAAGATAAGTAAAGAAATCATACAAAGTATCTATTGATGGCATCAACACAAACAAAAAGTGCCAATGGGCAATACCCTTGTCCCAACAAATGACCCTTGCCAGTTCGAAGCAGACTTGACTCAACCTTATCTTGGTGTGGAAGAATGCATTTCAGTACTGACTAATCTACCTCAAACTGCTTGAAAGACATCCCCTTATTGTATGCTCTCATCAACCTCTTGATTTCCCATACTAACTGCCTTAGTTTCACTCAATTCAAGCTTCAGGTTATCTCAAAATACTTGAATCTTTACTTGTTTCCTCAAATGCATCCTTTTATCATATTCAAAACTATGTCATTGCTTCATGATTAGACTAACTTTCAAGATCAGGCTGAGAATTATGCGTGCATGTCGTGTCACTAGAGTTAGCATGAAAACTATAAAAACAAAAGTGACCTAAACAAAAACTGACTAGAATTAACAGAAAACAGGAGATTGCATTAGACAGACGGTGAAAAGGGTTTGAACAAAACAACCAAAATAGACATGGGTTACAACCCTGGAACAATCCTAGATAACACTAGATGAGTTACTACAACTAAACGAACTAGGAAAAATAAGAAGAATAAGGGTTTGAGCCATAAGACAATATCCGAATTACAACCCTGAAATAACCCGGACAATAGAAATGACAACAAAATAAATCACCAAAACTCCTCCCTGGCTAGCCAAGAAAGAAGTGTCTTTCCAATTACCAAGCTCGACATCTTAGCCATTGAGTTCCACATCAATATTACCAGAACCCCCACAAGTCTCCTTTATGTTGACCTTAGTAAATAGATTTTGGGTCCCTTTTGCCAACTCATTCTTAAGATCAACCTCTGGAACCAGGACTGATAGCGCTGAAAATTTTTGCAATAAGTGGCCCTCCAAGAGATTCAGAAGAGTTCTCATATACCTTTTCCATACAAATCATTCCCACCATATGCATCTCATGATGAACAGACGATGGACTTTGGCTAGTGTCTGCTGCATTTGGATTTTGCATGGTAATGTCACCTGCATCAATAAGCTTCTGGAGTGCTCTTTTCAGATGCCAACATTTTTCTATGCTGTGCCCCGAGGCATTAGATCAATATGCGCACCTTTGAGAAAAATCAAAATTCTTTGGAAGAGGGTTCAACATTTTTATCTGAATCGACTTCAACATGTCCAATTGCCTCTGCCTTTGGAATAGACTGGCATATGATTCTCCAATAGAAGTGAAAGACTTTTCTCTTTGCTACTGCCTTCTTATTTTGTACTCCGTTCTTGGTTAGAACCTCTTTCGAGTAGGAGGTTGATATGCTTGTAGAGGTGGGTCAGACATTTGTTGAGGCGGTGCAAGCTGTTGCGGGTTTCGTGAGTGTGGAGCATATGGCGGTGCATTGTGGATAGGGTACTGGGAAGGTGAGGTATTACTTTAGGGATTTTGTGGAGGAAAGTAGCATTGATGAGGATTATTTGGAGTACGAGGATATTCATGGGGTCGATATTAAGGTTGAAAGCATTTAGCAGGAATGCCCACTGGATCCTATCGTTGGCGGGGCTCAGCAACATCATTTCTATCAATCGTAGAACTAACCCGAGCAACTTGTTCGTTCCATCTGAACCAAAACTCCCTAAAACTTTCCTTGGGTTCTTTTCCCATCTGAGATAGAGAGAAGCGGTCTAGGATAATATCTACTTTGTACTGATAGTGCCGAACAAAATCTTGAGCCATGTCACCCTATGCATGCCACTTACTGACATCTTGACGAGTATACCACTCCAAGGCCTCCCCATTCAAACTCTCACTGAAATACGCCATTGACAATTCATATTTCCCGCAAACATTTCTTATTTCACTACAATAACCCCTCATATGGGCTACTGGATCTCCACGCCCATCATATAAGTTAAACTTTGACATTTTAAATCCCGCAGGTAGATGAATATTCGGAAACATACACAAGTCATTGTAAGACATGTTATTTCCCATCCCTTGCATGTTATTTAAGGATTGTTCTATACCTTTCAGCTTTTTAGATATCTCATCTTGCTCCACTATCTTAGCAGGTTTTTCAGTTTTACCGGGAGGCTCAAAATGAGGAGTGTAAGAGTATGAATCCGAGACATTGAAAATTGGTTTTGGAGCATAGTGTTGGGATTCGAAGATTTTGAACACAGTTTTGGTAGAAGATCGAGGAGGAATAGTTGGTGGAGGAGCTATAAAAACATGAGTGATCAAAGGAGCGGGATATGAGGTGGTCTTGGGGGTGGAGTGTGAAAAGGTTGTGGGGAGATATCAACAGCTGTGGGAGTCTGGGCTTGTGACAGTGGCGGGATGGTGACGAGGCTTTCAATGTAGTTAGTGGGAAATAAGGGCGGAGGACTCCCACTAATCCAGGCTTGGCATATCTCGATCATCTGTCGTTTCAACCTTAGGACCTCTTCTTTCAACTCAGATTCTGATTCAACATTCTCCTTAGACGAATCAACAACACCTGTGTCCAAGTTTCTGCTAGCCATGGCTACCTTGCTCTTTGACCTTGTGTTGTACGAAAGACTTGCTAGAATGACACAAACTAACCACCTTCTCAATGATAACAATGAAAGTACCAAATAGGAGCAAAACAAAGCCAACATGTTAGCGTTAGGGTATTTATCAGATAGAAATATCACATTGCGTACAATGCACCTAGCAACAATTAACGGTTCTAGATTGACTTCGAGAGTGACGAGGTCATTCGACATCATCCCAATTTCGTTCATTTCAATCTTATCTTTTCTTTCATTTCTAGCACTTCTTGGCTTGCTCATTTTTCTTCCTCTCTTTTCTTTCTAATTATCAATACTTTCTTTCTCTTACCCCTCACGTCCCACAACTTCATTCTCTATTTTTTCCTCTTTTTTTTAGAGTAATGATTTGATCGAACCCTATGTAGGTTGCCTACGTATCATGTTCCATGTGAATCAGACCAAGCGTAGTTCTGAAAAAGTGATGGATAAAATAAACTAAAAAACAAGAATCTTTTTGGATTTTTCATTTATAACTTTTTTTAGTTTTTCTTTTTTTCAAAAATACAAAACATGAAGTACGGTAACAAAAAACTCAACAAACTCAACTTGACTACAACAAACTTTGACATCACCTAAAACACTCGACACTACTGTACAAGACTAGAAAGTAAAAGACAACATGAATGATAGATTCAAAACATAAAAGTATCCACAAGCAGCTCATGTATGCAACGGTCGTGACTAGACGGTCCTGAGGCGTCCATCATGCTAAAGCTTTGACAAATGGATCCATACCTGAATGAGAAAATAAGACCAAATAAAGTTTAGTGACTCAAAACACTATATCAGACCATCACCTTTCCAATTGGACACAACATGCAGGACATGATTGAGGCTAATTTTTGCAAAATGGCCGATGGGGCGACATGTGGCTAAAAATGCAAAATCAATTAGGATGACCTCTAAAACATGGGAATACCTCATGGAGTCCCATAAATTCTCAAGAATCACGATCCCTAAAATTGCTTTGCAAAAATGACCCCATTTTGCAAAAATGGCCTATGTGGCCGAAAAATGACTAAGCATGCAAATTCAACAGGAATGGACCTCAAACTGAGAGAAAATTTTGTTGTAGACTTAGGACTCTATTATATGGATCACTGAACCACTTTTGTGAAAATGGCCCCATTTTGCAAGAACAGCCGATATGGCCCAAAAGTGGAGACATGAATTGTGGATTCAAGTTAGGAGAACATGAATTGTGGATTCAAGACTCCAGACATAGTTCAACAAGCTACTTTGCAAAAATAATCCTATTTTGCAAAATGGCGATGTGGCCAGGAGTGGAAAGACAATGCAACATTTGGCTACGACCCCGAAGCCAAGAACTTAAGACTCACTAGAAAGACCGGACCCTATGTGAGCTGCCTACATATCCTGCCCCGAAAGACGAGAATCATGTATGCGTAGTTCGGGAAGATTGGACGAAATTAAAAGACTTACAAAAAGGGTCAATAGACTAGAAAAATGAGTTGCTTCTTTTTTTTTGATTTTTTTTAAAAATGGTATAAAGGTGTAAAATCTTTTTGGAATTTTTCTTTTTCTCTTTTGTTTTGGATTTTCTTGAAAAGTTGTGAAAGAAAAATATAACTGGGCCCTACTTGCTTCATCTTTATACTTCACCCTCTTTTCTTTCTCATTTACCCTCAACCATCATTGGTCCGCTAAATGACCCTTTTACCCTTAAAGAATGCAGCATGTAGCACATAGGGATGACTGAATGTGCTTTTGGGCCATAGGCCCACTTGACACAATTTGGACATGATTCCTACAAAGTAACATGGTACCTAGGACCGAACCCTACTAAGTAAACATGATATAATGCAAATAAAAATAACCTAAAGGCTGACCTATGTTTATGTTCACTAACAAGCAATTCGGGGGAGTGTATGGTCGATGGTGGCTGCTCAAGCTTTCCACCCACTCCATACGTCCGATGCTCCCTCCTAAAAGAAGGGTGACTCAACAAAGTGTTCGTGTACGCGACACTTTACGAGACTTGTAGCAGAAAGAAGACCCCTGGTTACGCAAATGATGATAGTTATAAAGTGGTAAACACATAAGGAAAAGCGATAAACAAATAACCAACAAAACAGGAAATACAACAAACAAACTAAACAAATAAAGTAAATAAAGAAAACAAACACCTCAATCAAATATCCTAAAAGACAATAAGATCAAGTATCAGCTCGAACCTACAACTCCCCAGCAGAGTCGCCAGAGCTGTCACACCCCATTTTTTACCTCACTTAACCCTCTTAAAATAGATAAAAGGATTTTTAAAGCTCGAAAGGGTTTTCAATTAGAAAATGACAAAGAATTGTGTTTCAAAAGGACTTTTCAAAGTTGCCACCTGACATTTGGTTTCGGTGTGTCAGGTCACCATTTTTAGAAATAATTTGTTCTTTTAAAACACAACAGACTCAAAAACTAACTGCACCAGAGATTTGGGTAAAGATGTTTATTTGACTCGGGGAGAAGGTGTTAGACATTCCCCGAGTCCCGTAACTAGTACGATTGCGTACTCAATCTAGTTGGCTTTAAAATATTCAAATTGAGGTAAAAAATACAGAAAAAGGAAAATAAACACACAAGAGGTCAAGGTCGTCCCCACCTAAATAAGAGATAATAAAATAAGAGAAAAATGCTAGAGTCTATAGAATACTATGCTCACTCCTCGATGTATCATCGACCTCTGTTTACATTCACTTCGGGGCATACCCCGGATAAAAATATATACAAAATCAACGTGACATTCCCCTAAATATAAATTAAAGGAACGACCACTCGTATTAGAAACTAATAATAATAAAGTGTCCTAATATTGCATATCTATGTGGGGTCGGCCTAAACATGTTACTAGCGATTCTTAATTAAGAAAAATAAATTTAAAGGCAGTGAAACAACAACAACGAGGCCATCAATTGTTATTGTCTTTTAGTTAATTTGGTACATTTCATTTAATTCAAAATTTTCACCCCAGCGACCCACTGAATCTTTCAACAGTGAACAATATCCATTTTTCATTTCAATTATCTACCATATGACTCAAAATATTCATCCAATCTTATTATGAACTCAAGGTAATGAACTGATCCAGCAACTAAATCAACTAAACAAAGGGTAGAAAATCCAGAAACAATTAACACAATTCATCAACTAGTGTAATGAGATGAAATAAAATAGGTATAAGAAACGGACCTTTATATAGATAAAAATTGATTGTTGCACTACTTTAAACTCAAAAATGTAACGAACCACGGACGGAACTCGAATCGTCATCGGAAAGCTCAAAACCAAAATGGCCTTAATCAAACTCCATCGGACTCCATGGTTTCAAAATTGAAAATCAGAAGAAGAAGAAGAATAAGCTATAACGTCAATATAAATAGCTAATTTTATAAGCTACTGTCACTTGGAGATGAAAGGACTCCATTCTTTACTCTCTATGACCGTCCCTTAGAGTATTCCAGATGCTTCGTTTCTGGTCTGGTGTGTGCGACTGTGGAGAGATGGAGATGGGTGGAGTTGAAGGGTAGTGTTTGGATTCCGGCGAGCTGCTACTGCTGGTTTTTGGCGAACAACGGCTGGTGGGAAATAGCAGAGGCGGCTGAGGAGGGTGGTCGCCGGGTGTGGCGGCGGTTGTAGGAGGAGATGGGGGGAGTTCGGCGTCTGNGGGGGTCCTAGGGTTACTGGAATTAAGTCTCTTTTTAGTGAAGTGGGGGTATGGGTTAAGAGTTTAATTCCGAAAATGGGCCTAAAAATGGATTGTTTTGGCCCAAATTTGTTTCTTTCTCATTGAACAAGACTAAAAATACTGTCCACATATACTAATTAATCCTACTTAAGTAGAAATAACTATTAAAATAAAAGTAACTGTTAAAACAAACATATTTTTGGTATCTTTTAAATATCATACTAAAAAGTAAAAATGGGATTAGATTAAAATCATCGCAAAATTAAAATAATATTCCTACCAAAAATACTAATATTTTCGAAAACAAAGTGGAACTATTTTTGTATTTTTTTTAATTTTATTNTATTTTTTAGTTTTTCTGCACACCCCCCTCCCTTGCCCCCAACCCCCTCCCCCGGAATATATATATATATATATTTTCAGTTTTTGTTTTTTCATCTTTCGGTTTACAAGTTCGAAATTTTACAAATTTCAAATTTATGAATTCAGAGGTTTATGTGTTTGGAAGTTTACAGGTTCAAAAGTTTGCGGTTTCAAAAGTTTAGCGGTTCGAAAGTTTGTAAAATTTGTGGGTTCGGAAGGTTGTTGATTCAAAAGTTTATGGCTTCATGTTTATTGTATATAAATTATTTATGAATATTTTGAGAAGTTATTTTCCTCAATTTGTGTATCAAACACCTGAAAATGAATAAGATTACTACTTGTTTTCCAAGAAAATACTTTCTTAAAAAATATTTTTCACGGAAAATATTTTCCCTTATACCAAACACACCCATTGTCCTGTTGGTTTTTATTGATGACACCAACGACCAAGAGATATTCCTAGCTATTTAGCTATAAAGAAATATATTCATTAAACAAATAACATACTTAATGAGGTTTCCAGCTGTAGTGAGGAGTGAGCCATATGACTTACGAGTCATTTCAATCTCGTTATATTAAGAAGAGTCTTAATTACAATTATGTGTGAGCTACAAATCATTGTACTCTTCATGTTAAAACAACGTGTATATACGGATTAATTTAGTACTGATTACCTCTAATTTAGCCTACCCGCCAGTAGTAACTTTTCATACCCTGGACTATTTGCAAAAGAAATGAAAATTTTACCAAACAATGACACACGTTAATTAAGATACTTCTTATTTAAAACTTTATGGCACAATTAGTATACTTGGAGAAAGGGGAATCATTCTAATTATTTTCTTTCTTTCTTTCTTCTTTGTCTTCTTTTTCATGTAAACCATATAAAAATCCTTAGCAAAACAGGGTAAAGAATTTAATAAGATCTTTTGATATACTATCGTGGAAACTCCTTCAACATATACCTAGCTTTCTGTGTAGTCATGATGATTCTCTAGACTTAGAACATTTCAAAACGCTAATTATGTTTTCCGAAAATGATATTAATGTAGTATTAGGAGCTCTTTCGAACTTAAAAAAAAGGCAAATAAGGGATTTTTTTTACCCAAATTTATTGTTTATTTTTTTTAGCTATTATACATATATTTGTACGGATTACACAAGGGTTTATAGCTATCCAGAATGGAGTTTCGTCAGTTCCAATTGCTCCATATGGTATTTTGGTTCTAGGAACGTGTCCGGATGTTGATTTGGAGGTCCGCAGGTCATTTCGGCATTAATTGGCGAAAGTTGAAAGTTTTTTGGAAAATTTGACCGAGAGTGGACTTTTTGATATCGGGGTCGGATTCCAATTCTGGAAGTTGAAGTAGGTCTGTAATGTCAAATGTGACTTGTGTGCAAAATTTGAGGTCAATCGGACTTGATTTGATTGGGTTCAACATCAGATGTAGAAGTTAGAAGTTCAAAAGTTCATTAGCCTTGAATCGATGCGCAATTCATGGTTTTAGCATTTTGATGTGATTTGAAGGATCGACTAAGTTCATATGATGATCTAGGATTTGTTGGTATGGTTGATTGAGGTCCCGGGGGCCTCGGGGGATTCAGACCATGTTCGGTACATTTTGGAACTTGGGAGATTACAGATTTTGCTGGTACTGGTGTTGTTGTATGCGATTGCGAGTGTGGGGCTGCGTTCGGGAAGTGTTAATGTTAGCTACTGGATTTTTGTACTACGCGTTCGCAGAGAAAGGGATGCGATCGCAGATGTTTGGCTTAGAGTTAATCGCGAACGCGTGGTGTAGTTCGCATTCGCGAAAAAGAGTTGGTGAAGCTGGGACGGGGCCAATTGTTCTACGCGAACGCGTAGCCTGTGATGCGAGTGCAATGTTGAGGCAGTGTTGCATCCATGTTCGCGAGTGTTTTTACGCGATCGCGAAGGGTTAAATTAGGCCGGGCAGAAATTTGTCTTACGATCGCGTGTAGATTTTCGCGATCGCGATGTTTAATTAAATGGGCAGCAGATTAAATTTCAAAATCGAGGGTTTGATTTCATTTTCACTTTGGAAATTTGAGAGCTCGGATTGAGGTGAGATTTTTGGGGATTTTCAGAGAAAGCATTTTGGTAAGGATTTTTGACTCGTTTTTGATTTATTTCCACTAATCTATCATTAATTTCTTCATTTAATGAAGGATTTGGGTTGAAATTGCGGAAAACAGGTGTAAAGTTCTTAAACCAAGTTTTTGGGTTTTGAATGGCTAAATTAGGACGGATTTACATGATTCTTGTATGGTTGGATTCGAGATCGAATGGATGTTCGGATTTTATCATTTTGGTCGGCTCCCGAGACGCGAACCAGGTTGACTTTTTGGGATGATTTTTTTCAATTCTTGATAAAATCATAATTTTATTTTTTAGATTAGTTTCCTATAGTTATATTTATAGTATGTAATTGCTTTTGGTTAGATTTGAGTCGTTCGGAGTCGGAAAGTCGAGGGAAATGCCTTCTTGTTGATTGATGGAGCTTGGTTTGAGGTAAGTGACTTGTCTAACCTTGTGTAGGAGAATCCCCCCTTAGGATTTGGTACTGTTATGGTAATTTTCTATATGTGAAGGCCGTGTACGTAAGGTGACGAGTGCGTACACGGGCTAAGTGTTGAAATTCCGGCTTTTGCTAAGTAGTTTCTTTTTTATGCCTTAATTCAGTTACTTTAGCACGTGTAGTCATCATGTTTAGCCTAATTTCACATGTCTACTTGTCTTATCTCTTATTTGCAACTTGTGGTACATGCTTAGTTTAATTACCTGCTTTCTTGATTCCATATTCATTAATTAACGGTGTGATTCTTTACTTGAAATTGCTATCCTTCAAATATCATTGTTTCAGTTGTTATGTTTTGGTTTCAATGATTATTGTTGAAATGATTGTTTGGTTGTTGCACGGGGTTTCTGCCGTGCAACTTTTTATTATAGCATGAGGTCTCTACCGTGCGGGTTGTTATTGTGGCATGAGGTCTCTGCCGTGTGGATTGTTATTGTGGCACGAGGTTTCTGCTGTGCAAATTGTTATTGTGGCACGAGGTTTCTGCTGTGCAAATTGTTATTGTGGCATGAGGTTTCTGTCGTGCGGTTGTTATTGTTTGCATGAGGTTTCTTCCGTGCCATTGTAATTATGGATACACATGGTTGGTATAAGAAAAAAATGTGAGATATTTACTTTTGGGACTACGAGGCGGCACCTCGGCAGTGCGTATGTTGATTTTTCCTCTATTTGCTGTTTGTTGTTGTTGTTGCTTCCTTAACTTGTAAGATTTCCTGCTTCTTTTCGTGTTGTAGTTGTTTTTCTTTGATTCCGTACTATTACCTTCCGTAAATTCCTATTGTTTCACTTCCCTTGCACCTTATTATATCTTTTATCCTGCCTCTTATTATTTTCCAATAGGGCTCTGACCTCGTCACTACTCTATTGAGGTTAGGTTTGACACTTACTAGTACCGTTGTTGTGTACTCATGCTACGCTTCTGCACGTCCTTTTGTGCAGATCTGTGTACCTCTTACCAGTCTAGGCACCAGTGAGGCGAGCTCAGTTCAGAGACTTTAAGGTATACTTGTCGGCGTTCGCAGGCCTCGAAGTCCCCTTCTATCATGTTCTGTTCTTATTTCTTTATATATTTATAGACAGTGATGTATAGGAGCATTCCACACAATATCTAGAGCTTGTGACTTATATTTCACCGGGGTTTAGAATTTGTACACGTTGAGCGGCAGCTTTCACTTATATAGCTATTGAAGATTTCTATTTAAGTTATTATTTCAGTTATTCCGCATATTTGTTAGGCTTACCTAGTCTTAGAGACTAGATGCCGTCATGACATCTTACGGAGAAATATTCGGGTTGTGACATATATATATATATATATATATATATATATATATATATATATATATATATATATATATATATATATATATATATATTCGTCGATTATTTTTAATTTACGCGATGAGTGGACGATTATTTAGATTAATTCTTCATAATTTTTCACAATTCTTTGAAAGTTGTCCACATAATGCATGCATATATATTACTAGATAAGTGATGCCCGTGCTATGAATATGCCAAACATGTTAGGTAATTTTTGTATTTCATCTGTGGTGATGACAATGCACAACATGTTAGGTAATTTTTTATTTCAACTGTGCTAGTGAATTGTCACGACCTAAAATTCACTGGTCGTGATGGCACCTAACGCAACCCGTTAGATCAGCCAATTTAATAGTTAACATAATTATAATAAAATAAAGGTGATCAATAAATGTCTATATTTGGATTCCATACAATAACCTAAGGACTGGTAGTACAAGTCATGATATACTATGACTAGATTATTTTAAAAATTGATATGAAATAAATACGACTTCTGTTTGAAATGTTCATAAACATAATTTGATACTAAAACTACCTAGGGACAAATGATAGCCACATCAGGAAGGCACGAACGTCTCTAGAGTCAGCTCTCGTCATCCACCGCAGCTCCGCTCCAAAATCTGCATGCAAGGTGCAGAAGTATAGTATGAGTGCAACCGACCCCATGTACTCAGTAATTATCT